ATGAAGGTTTCTTCTTTAACTCCTTGGTTGTTGGACTTCCATACAGTTCAATTTTATCAGTTCTGGTTGTTTTTTGTTTTTAAATTTGTTTTTCTCCTTCTTTTGGTTGTGTGAGGAGGCAAAGTGTATCTACCTACGACTCGATTTCTGACAGTTCTGAGTGATTGTTGTTCTATATTTTAGCTGTAATTTTGATGTGGCTGTGCGAGAAGGTAAGCTGTGTTTACCTGTGTTGCCATCTCAACCAGAAGTCCTCTCATTGTGACTTTAATCTGCATTTTCTTAGTAGCTAATGATTTTGAACATTTTTTATGTGCTTATTTGCCATCTGTATATCCTTTTTGGTAAATATCTGTTTATATCTTTTGCCTATTTTTCCTAATTAGGTTATTTTTTACTGTTGAGTTTTGAGAGTTCTTTATATAGTCTAAATATAAGTCCTTTTATGGATTTATGATTTGCAAATATTTTTTCACACAGTGTACTTGTCTTTTTATTATCTTTTGCAGAGCAAAAGTTTTTAATTTTGATTAAGCCCAATTTATCTATTGTTCCTTTTATGATTGTGCTTTTGATGTCAGTCCTACAAACTCTTTGCCTAATGCTAGATTCTGAAGATTTTTTATTTTTAAAAAATGTTTATAGTTTTACAATTTGCATTTATGTCCACATGATCTATTTTTAGTTAATTTTTATATAACAAATGTAGACCATAGGTATATAAACCTATGTAGAACTTAGGTTTAGGTAATTGTTTTTGCTATGGACATCCAATTGGTCCAGTACCATTTGTTAAAAAGACTCTCTCCTCTCCATTGAATTGCTTTTGTACTTTTGTAAAAACAAAATAATCAGCTGTGCATATTTGTGTGGGCCTATGTCTGGGTTCTCTATTCTTTTTTTCTGTGTACCTATTCCTATACAAATATCACATAGTCTTCTTGATCACTGTACCTATATCATAAGTCTTGGAATCAGTTATACTGATTCTTCTCATATTTTTCTTTTCAAAATTGTTTATTCTATAATATTTCCTCTGCCTCTCTATATACATTTTAGAATAATTTTTTCTATATGCTGTAGTTTTGATAAGCATAGTGTTAACCTGTTTGTCAATCTGGGAAGAAATGACATTTGTACTAAATCTCCTGATCTATGAACATGGTATGTCTCTCCGTTGAGACTTGATTTCTTTCATCAGGGTTGTACAGGTTCCAGCCGCCATGTCCTAACATGTTTGTTAAATTTACACTAAGTCTTATTCTTTTTTGAATAATATCAATTTTGATGTCAAATTTTTAACGTAAATGTAAATGTATTCATATTCATTGCTAATATACAGAAATACAATTGATTTTTGTATGTTTATCTTGAATCCTATTACCTTGCTGGACTCACTTATAAGTTCTAGGACTTTTTAATAGATTCCTCAGGGTTTTCTACATATCAATTTTCTATGAAGCTCCTTTCTTTCCACTATTTTTTCCTGTAAATTCTGCACCTTATAAAATTCTATATCTTATGGAATAAATTCTATAACTTATAGAACTCTATATTCTATAATCATGGAATCTACATATAGGAGCAGTTTTATTTCTTCCTTTTTAAACTTGCTTGCCTTTCTTTCCCTTTTACTTGCCTGACTACAATGTTCAGAACATTCAGTGCTATGCTGAATGAGAAAAGCCACCCTCACCTGTTCCCAACCTTAGGGAGAAAGCATTCATCTTTCACAATTAAATGAGGAATTAGCTGTAGGTTTTTGTAGCTTCTCTGTATCAAGTTGAGGAAATTCCCCTCTATTGCTTTTTTGAGAGTTTTTATGAATTCATCCTGCATTGCTCATATATTCAAAGAGTTGTCATTTGCTTCTAAAGAGCCAGCACATATTTGCAACTATTTTTCTAGTTTTTAAGGTTCCTCTCCTTATCTATAACTATTTAAAATATCTAGCACCATTTTGCTGTTAAATACATAGACTCTTACTTCTGCTCTTGCAATAATGGAAACATGGGGACTCCTCCCATTAAACAACTAGAAAACCAAAAGCAGCACATGAAGTATCAATTTTCAAACATTATACAACAAGTAGTGCAGCATGACCCCTGAGAAAAGGGAAACAGCCCGGTGGTCTCATTGATCTGGGAAGACAGATTAGAGTTCAAGGAGGTCAGAGCAGCTAGAATTCACAGGGAAGAATACTGGAGAGAAAGAAGCTTCACAGAGCAAGAGCTCCAGAGATCTGCACAGGGAATTTTTCATGTTTTCAGCTGAGTTCTGACCTGTGCATATGTAGGAGAGAACTACTCAAAGCCAAGAAAAAAAAACTGGAAGCTACTGGAAGCATTGGGCTCAAAAATTCCTGGACCTCACACATAGCTGGGAGTAGTTCACATTCCCACTAGCCAGAACAGAAAGACCTTGTGGAGCGTTAATTAGGCAGAGTCCTGAGAATGGCACAGCCTTACTAGGGGCACAGTGTAAAGGCAGCTCTGTACACACTATAACAAATCTTAAAAATAAGGCTTAAAGGGAACCAACTGATTTCTGGTAATTTAACTGTGTGCCAGAAAGAAGACCAATACTATTTAAAGCACTAAAACAAAATCCAGGATCCAACAGTATAAAATTTGCAATATCCATCATCCAATCAAAACTTACCAGGCATGCAAAAAGGGAAGGAAATGAACTCATAACAAGGGGGAAAATAATCACTAGAAACACGCCAAGAAATGACACAGATGATAAGATCAGCAGCCAAGACTGTTAAGAAGCTCTTATAAACATACCTCATATTTTGAAGAAGGTAGAAGACAACATATGGCAAATAAGCATATGAAGAAATGTTCATCATCATCAGTCATTGGGGAAATGCAAATTAAAGTAAGCACTGAGATTCTAAACACTCACTAGAAAGGCTGAGGTTAGAAAGACTGACAATGCCGAGTGTTACCAGGATGTTGTAACTACGGTCCCCACACATTACTGGTGGGAAGGCAAAACGGCAGATCCGCTCTGGGAAGCCAGTTGACTGCTTCTAATAAAGTTGAACATATACTTACCATAAAACCTGGAAATCTCATTCCTAGGTATATACCCCTGAGAAAGACAAATATATATCCAAAGACTTGTATGCAAAAGTTCATTGCAGCTTGATTCATAACAGCTCAAAGATGGAAACAACCCAAATGTTCCTAACCTAGCAAATGTAGAAACAAATTACAATATATTTATACAACCAAATAGGACTCAGCAGTTAAAAAAAAGTACTGGTATACTCAACACATGAAATTCAAAAGCATTCTGCTAAATCAAGGAGGCCAGACACAAAAGGAAGCATGTGCAGTGTGGCCTATTTATACAAAAAAGGTAACACTAAGGGACAGACAGCAGTTGCCACTGCGAGGAGGAGGGAATCGGCTGCCAAAGGGGAAGGAACTTTCTGAGGTGATGGAAATGTTCTGTTTCATGATTGTGGTGTAATTGCACAACTCTACACATCTGTCAAAAGTCATCCAACTATATACTTAAAATTGGTGAACTTTACTGTAGATACATTATACTTCAGTAATGAAGCTTGTTTAAAAAAAAATTTCTCTCTCTTAACATTTGACAAAGGGGGCAGTAACATAAAAACAGTCTCTTCAACAAATGGTGTTGGGAAAACTGGACAGCTACATACAAAAAAATGAAACTCGAGCACCAACTTACACCAGACACAAAAATAAATTCAAGGTGGATAAAAGACTTAAATATAAGCCATGTCACCATTAAAGTCCTGGAGAAAAGCATAGACAGGAAAATCTCAGATATTTCACGCAGCAACATTTTTACTGATACATCCCCCAGAGCAAGGGACACAAAGGAAAGACTAAACAAATGGGATCTCATCAAAATAAAAAGCTTCGGCACAGCTAAAGAAAACAGTATTAAAAAGGGAACCAACTGTATGGGAAAACATATTTGCCAATGATACCTCAGACAAGGGTTTAATCTCCAAAATATATAAAAAACTTACATGACTCCACTCTAAGAAGACAAGCAACCCAATTAAAAAATGGGCAAAGGACTTGAACAGACACTTCTCCAAGGAGGACATACAGAGGATCCAGAAACACATGAAGAGATGCTCAATCTCACTAGCTATCAGAGAGATGCAAGTTAAAGCCACAATGAGATACCACTTTACACCAGTCAGAATGACCATCATAAACAAAGCAACAAACAACAAGTGTTGGAGAGGTTGTGGTGAAAAGGGGACCCTAGTACACTGTTGGTGGGATTACAGACTAGTACAACCACTATGGAAAACAGTATGGAATTTTCTCAGAAAACTAAAAATGGATCTGCCTTTTGACCCAGCAATTCCACTGCTAGGATTATATCCTAAGAACCCTAAAACACCAATCCAAAAGAACCTATGCACCCCAATGTTCATAGCAGCACAATTTACAATAGCCAAGTGTTGGAAGCAACCTAGATACCCATCAGTAAATGAATGGATCAAAAAACTATGGTATATTTACACAATGGAATTCTATGCAGCAGAAAGAAAGAAGGAGCTCCTACCCTTTGCAACAGCATGGATGCAAATGGAAAGTATTATGCTAAGCGAAATAAGCCAGGCAGTGAAAGACAAATACCATATGATCTCACCTTTGACAGGAACCTAAATAACAAAACAAAGAAACAGGCAAAATATAACCAAAGACACTGAAATAAAAAACAGACTGACAGAGTTCAGAAGGGAGAAGAGAGGGAATTTCAGGGGAATTTCAGGGGAAAAGGGGAAGGGTTTACAGGAACGAGTATAAGGACACATGGATAAAAACTAGGGGCAGGTGGAAATGGGAGGGAGGAGGGGAGGGTTGGGTGAGTGGGTTGGGATGGGAGTAAAAGATAAAAAATTGTACTACAACAGCAATTTAAATAAAATTTTAAAAAAACTTCTCTCTTTTCTGAGCTGGTAGCTACCAGAGAAATGAGAAGATGCTGTTTACCTTCCCAGTCCTCCATGTAAGGGGCCTCTTCGGCTTCTTTCTCTGGAGTTAGCCTGTCAATGAATCTTCCCTCTTTCATGACCCTGGTTATTTCTCGGAGCTGATGCAGCAATCGTTTTTCTTGGTCAGAAGTCACAGTCTGAGCTCTGCTTAGAAATATCAGACAACCCAGCCATTTAGTGGTAACTACTCCTTGGCAATGAACATAAACATCACTGTGATCTGTCTGGATCCCAGAACAGGAAGTGAAACAGCAGCACATAATTATTCTACGACTTGATCCTAGAGCAGCATAGCTGGTCATCAGACATGTTAGTTCAATGTTCTGGTTTTACAGCTGGGGAAAATAAGGCCCAGAATAGATCGAGTGATTGCTCAAGGTCCCACAGTGAGGTAAGGTCAATGCTGGGACCAGGCCTCAGATGTCTCAGCTTTCAGTTCAGTGTTTTTTCAGTCTACCTCACTGCTCTTACTCTCTAATCCCCAAGCAAGTTCATTGTTACTTAATAGGATTCCATTTACTACAAGCCACCTCGGTCTGAAGCAAGGTCATCAAAAGCAACTGTGCCGAGCCATTAGTCTCGACAAGGGGAAAATGTGCTACTAGGCCACCCCTGCAACCACCAGGCTGCGAGTGCTTGTGCAGAAATAAACACACACCCTGGAATTCCAGAGCTGGACCATTCTGACTAATCAATTATCCAGGCCACAGAAACCGGGGAAACTGAGACCCTCAGAGGGAAAATTGTACATTCCTCCTGCTAGTTAATGTCAGCACTTTAACTAAAATGAAAGTCTCCTAACTTCTGACAGCATTCAGTGCAATTCTTAAAGCTCAGTGCTCAAGTTCCACAGTTTAGAAGGCCTGGCTTTGAGTTATAGCTTAGCTGGGGGGCTCTGGACAAATGCTGGCAAAAATCAGAAGAGGCTCAAGGATAATGGCCTTTTATTTTTTTTTTTAAGAAGGAAGCACTGCATCACACTCGTAGGCAGACAAGGCCCTATGCAAAGACCAAGCACTGCCTTATTTGGGACCAGTTTTGTCTAGTGTCAGGATTTAACAGAGACTACTTATTCTTCTCTTAAAAACCCAAAGTATTTGAAATCAATATAACACTCATGAAGGAAAACTGAAATATTCTGGATCAGCACCCTCTAGAGGTGCCATCTATTTTTCTTATCAGCCAGTAGGAGCTTGCATTCCTTTTTATACTTAGTCTAACAAACTTTAGCCTAAATGACCCAAAGAAATGGGGAAAAAGAAAAAAGGGCTTCTGCCCACAATGTAAGATGGTAAATGAGGAAAATAAAAGTGCACCATGCCTGCAGCTCTCAGTGGGAGGAAAACAAGAACAGCGGAGCTCTCCTGCTTCCACACTAAACTGCCCCAGAGCCATGAACAGGAGCAGCCTGCCTGGTCTACAATCAGCTAAACTCATGCATTTTTGGGCCTCTCACAGCTCTGCTCTCCCACCAGTCCAGCAGTCTGGACTCCCTGCAACTGCTCATCTGCTCTACATAGCCCCTAATTCTTACGATGACCCACTTTGTGGGGTGCTTCCAGGCAGCCAGGTCACCCCTACCCTAAAACAGCCATGCGCTTATCACAGAGTCTTGCTCTCAGGCTGCACATGTTACTTCTCTGAACTGTACTCAGTGTATTCTGATTTCTATTGTATGAAACAGCCTGGATCCTCTGTTTGTTAATTCATGAAAAATCAGAATCTTAATTAAAAGAGGGATGGCTAACAGAAGCTGAAACAGACAAGGGAAACTTTCTCAGAGAGTCCCAAACTAAAGCGTCCTCTTTCATTTCTGAACAAGTGTACTCATGTTGTCTGTACCATGCATTAGGCAATTAACCACGGCCTGTCTTTCACCTTCCAAATTTATCACAATGAACGTTTTCATAGATTCCTTCTGGTCTCCACTTGGCTTACTCCTGGAAGACGGTGCTCACTGCACGACTGTATAGGTGCAGTGCCACGGACATTGTAAGTGCTGATGCGTTGGACTGGTCCCCATTTCCTCACCATCCATTTCCTCCCACCTCTCTGAAACCTGGCTTTTACTCCATCCTTTCACCAAAACTTGTGAAAATCACCAATGACGACTTTACTCTCATGTCCAAAAGCCTTGCTCTCACATTTCATCCTTCTTGACTTCTCTGTGCTGTGGACCATCCCCCCCTCGAAACGTATTCCTCCTCCCTTGTGTCCTGAGACACCTGTACTCCTCCCACTGCCTTAACCATTCTCTCATCTCTGATCATGGCTAGCTTTCTCCTTCCCAATTCCTAAACCATGGTTTTCCTGAGGGCTCAATCCTAGGATTCTTGTTTCTCCACCGCACTGCCATGCCCTCAGGAAGCTGACCCAGCATCGCAGATTAAACCATCATCTCTACGCGGATGAGGCCCAAACTCTACCTTCACTCTTACTTCTCACACAGTCAGGCTCGTTATCCCAGTTATCTCCTGCGCACTTCCACTTGGAGGCCTTGCCACCACACTGAGGTTTCTTCAACTGGTTCTTCAAAAAGAACCAATGTCCTAGCTGGGCCTCAGATCATGAGCAGCTGCATGGGCAGGCAGGCTAGGGGAGGTGGGGTATGGCAGATTCCACAATGCTAGAAAAATAAAAGGTCAAATTGGGAGATACCCTCACCCAGGGAAATCACCAAGCTCTGAATCTAAGAATTAAGCACAGAGAATGAAACAGTTTCTGACACAACCACTCATGGCTAGAATGGAATTCAGACTAGCAGAAGACTGACTACAGGCTCTTGTCACACAGGTCGGGATGCCTCAAGGACTGGGTGATCTTGTCTCTGCCCTTCCTCTTGCCAAACATGAGCCTTTTGTTCTGACCTCAATACCCAAATTTCCTGTTGTTCTTGCATATTTTATTGTACATGGATGTTGGGAAGGCCCCTCAACCATATTCAAAACCGAACTCAGGATCCCTATCCCAGGCCTTATCTTCTTCTCCCTCTTTTGTGCTTTTATCTTAGTTAGTATCCTAATATTCCTTCCAGTTTGGGCTATAAATATCCAACTTGTCTTTATCTCCTTTTTCCTCTTCATTACTCTTATCTAGTTAGTAGTTTTCTCCTTTAGGGGGCCATCCTCTCTTCCGCTCACAGTGCAAAAGTTAGGGTGAAGCCAATCACCCCCTCTTCACCTCTCCTTCAAGGATGGCCAGGTGGTCCATGGCCAACCAGCACACTTCATTTCCTTCACCACACCAATTGAATCAGTGATACACCCAGGAGCCAAGCTGCGCCAAGGGTACTTTCTCCTAAAACTAGATCTTGAACCCAGTGAAACTTCATCTGAAAACCTGTCACATTAATTCCTCCTGGCAACAGTGCCTGAGAGACTGTCCATTTACTCCTGCTCCCTAAATCCCCAGAGCTGCTCTGCTTCCTACTCCTCCTGAAACCTGATCGTTAGCGATTCCTCCCATATTGTGAGCTATCCGATATTCTTCCAGTAAACGGTGCTGCCTCCTCCAAATATTTAATACCCAGATGGGTTGCCTGCAACCAAGGAAACTTTGTACGGCCTGTGATTTTTTTTCTCCATGCAGTCCCCTGAACTTGGCCCCTCTTTCCCACTTTCACTGGCTTATTTATTACCTTTTGCTAAGACTTTTTCAATAACCTTCTAGCATACAAGCCACTCTACACATCACTGTAAGAGTTATTTTTCCAAAGCACAGGGGATAATGATGTTACTCCCCAAAAGTACACAGAGGCCCCCACTGTAAAGACAATGCATTTCCACCTCAGCCTATCACTTGGGCCTTCCAGTCTGGCCCTAGTTTACTGTTCGGTTTTTCCCCATTACTCACTTCTATTCCTGTACCCACTCCCTGGTCTACTTCACTCCAGTTATTTAGGACTACTTGTTGCTGCTCCGAAAACATGCCTTGACTCTCTCATCTTGTCCATTGCTTGTGCTACCCTCTCTGAAACATTCTTTCCCCAAACTCTGCCTTTTACCCTCAAGGCTTGTTCAAATTCCCCCCATCCCATAAGACCTTCTGTGGCAAGTAGAATAATCCCAATGCTCCCCAAAAGTGTCCACATCTTAATCCCTGGATCCTGTAATTACGCTGCCATATATGTAAGGACACTTAAGGCTGCAGATGGAATTAAGGTTGTTACTCAGATGGACTTGAACTAGAGAGATTATCCTGGATTATCAGGGAGGGCACAATGTGATTAGAAGAGTCCTTGCAAGTGGAAGAGGGAGACAAAAGAGGTCAATGATGTGAGAAGGTCTCAACCCACTATTGCTGCATTTGAACATGGAGGAAAGGGTCCATGAGCAAAGAAATGTGGGCAGCTTCTCGAGTCTGAAAAAAGGCAAGGAAACATTCTCCCCAGAGCCTTCAAAAGGGCATACAATCCTGCCAACACCTTGATTTTAGCCCAGTGTTAGACTTCTAACATACAGAACCATAAGATAATAAATGTGTGTTGTTTTAAGCCATTAATTTTGCAGTAAATTATTACAGCTGCAACTGAGAACCAGTAACACGTTCCTAGAGCACACCTGACCTCTGAGATACAGTTCTTTATCGAGAAATACTGCTTTCACTGAGAACCACATGAGGTGCACAGAAGAAATCAAAATAGGTAAAGACTTGGCTGGTGTGACTCGGTGGATTGAGTGCTGGCCTGTGAACGAAAATAGGTACCAAAGATATTCTTATTATTGCTGAAAAAGCCTACATTGAAGCTCCTTCTCTAGATCTACCTTGATCATTCTTTCAACGTGTACCAACACTGTCAATGTGCCAGCAAGGAACACAAATCTGAACAATGAAGAATCCCTGTCTTCAAGAAGGTCAGAGGGCAGCAGGGAAAACAAAAGTGAACAGAAAATCAGAAAGTAACATGATACTTACAATACTAAGCAAACCTAGGTGGCATGGGAGTACATAGTAGGAACACCTAACCAAATTTTGAGTCCAGGAAAGAACTCTCAGAGAAAATGATGTCTAAGTTGAGACCTATGAGACAAGCATGAGTTAAAAAAAGTAACTATAAGGTGGGGTGGGGGTTACACCCAAGCAAGTGAGAAAAGTATATGCAAAGCCCTAGAACAAACACTCAGTGGACCATAGGACCACAGAGAGCATGACAGAAAAGAGGTGTGCAGGGCCACATCACCTGGTACCATGTAAAACAGAAGACACAGTCCATCTGTCTGAAAAGCAGACAGTGAACCAAAGGGAGGCAAAATCAGAGAAAAAGAAACCACATGAGATAGTTCTGACCTATGTCAAAAATAAAGGTATTCATTCATTCATTCATTCACTCATTCTTTCTTCCATTTCAATGAATATTTACTTCAGAGCCTACTATGGGCCTGTGCCAGGCTCTGGGAATAAGGATAATCCCTGCCCTAATGACACTTAGTGTCTTTTGCAGGAAGACAGACTTATTCATTAGGAAGAAATGACAGGACATGATGATTGATGAGATATGGGAAGTGAAGGAAACAGTGAATCCAGGATGACATCAGATGGTGAGGCCATCTACTGAGATGGAGAATAGAAAAGGAAAACTAAGCTCAGTGAGGGGTAGATGATGAGTTCCCTCCTGGACATTCATTCCTTGAAGAGGCACTCAACATCTGATGGGGATAAGGGCAGGTGTCACCCGTGATTTTTATCATAGACTTTGAATCAGGAAATGCTTCTCAACAGGGAATGGCCATGATTTATTCTTTGACCATAATACATGTGCAAATGCTTGAATCAAAAGTGAATTACCTCTTCTTTTCCAACAGCATTTACTTAACACCTACCACGTGAACACAGTGAACCAAACTGACTAACCCTGTTCTCAAAGAGTTTATATTCCAGCACTGCGTGTCAGAAATCTACAATCCCACACACACACTCACCGGGCCTGCCAGGGCTGCCTACTGCCAGAGGCTGCACCCTTACCTCTGCCCTCAGGCCACACCATGCTTCTAGGGGGTGAATAGTTACAACTAGACATGCTGCTCTGGGGAGGAAACTTAGCTGATCATAAGGACGTAAGTGAGGGCACCTCGACTCTGATTCCTAGATCTTTTCCTTGGTCTCTGTGCCCCTGGGTTGGATACTGTGCCTAATATCAGAGGGAATGTGGCACCATACAAGCCTTTAGGAGGCTTCATTATTTAAGCACGTATATAGACATATATTATCCAGAGAAAGCTGTCCAAAAGTTTTATTAGATAGCCTTAAAAACCTTTCCTATATTTTGATCCTTACATAAGCATTAAGATGGAAGTTTCAGAACTGCATATTTCTAAAATTTTAAACAAAATCTTGCTGATATGGAGTGAATATTATATACATAAAAATACTTAGAAGGCTGTAAATGAACATATCGTCTTTGTCTTACACCCTCTCCTTGACCCCCAAAAGCCAAGAGATAGGATAAAATCTTGATGTGACAGAAAAAAATACTGTGGTATTTTGGACTAATAATCTTAGAAGCACAGACTTGTGGAGGAACAACTACCACAGGATCTGAGATTAGAGCACATAAGTATTAAAAGGAAACAACGTCAAGCATGGGGCTGCCTCGCCCTTGCAGCTTTCAGGGTTGAATTCCCTGAAATGCTTTCAGCTAGGGCCTACTTGTAAGGATAAAAGGTGTCAGATTAAGGGGTGTCAGAGAGAAAGTCACATCTTCATGGGACTAAAAGGGATGGGAAAGACAGCCACAAGCTATGCTTGTTTCGGGGGAAGGGAACCGTCCTCCAGGTCCTGAGCCATACTGTGGAAAACACTTCATACAACCATCACTTTGTGGTCGGCTGGAAGGAGCCCACATGCCAGCATCTTATGAGTGAAGTTTCCAGCCAGGACCTGTGACCCCACAATGAAGTGGCACAACTCCAGCTGCAGGCTGGGGACAAGTCCTGTGCCTTTGCACATAAAACATGAAGCAATAATCTTAGGGCAAAGAGAACAGACAATACTTAGGGTTTACAGTATTGTGTCCCTGGCCTGGGCAATGGGTAGATGATGTACAGGAGTGGGATGGTGGGGTTCTTTGATCTGAGCTAAGGGAGTCTGGGTGGGAGCAAAAGTGAGAAAATATGTGCATGTGGCTTCTCATTCCAAGGCCTAGGGGCTGGGCCTCCCAGGAGGAAGGCCAATAAATATCAAATTTTTCAAAAAATTTTTTATATTTACTGAGCACTTACTAAGGGCTAGGCTCTGGGCTAAATGCTTTTTATATATTATCTAATGTATGAGAACTTGTACCAATGTGACTGCCAGTTTGTGCAACTATACTTTTCTGATCTTTCCTATTCTTACCCTGTGCCACTCACGGTCTGGGTGGGGAAGGGGGGAAGCCTTTTCAGGAACAACTATAAAGGTCACAGGACAAAACCAAGGGCAGGTGGAAGCAGGGGAGGGAGGTGGGGATGACTGGGATGGGAGGAGTGGTGAGGGGTAAATGCAGACAACTGTACTTGAACAACAGTAAAATAATTTTTAAAAATATCAAATATTTTTATACAATCATACAGTATACTCATGTATAGATACGTAGACATATCTATACCACTTTGAGGAACATTCTAGATAGTCACTCTGCTTTCCAGACTAAAAGAAGGTCAAAGCTCCTGGGCCCATACAGGCAAGGTTCACCCTCATAAATGTCTTCTCAGCAGCACTGTAGATACTGCAGGGAAAAGCCAAGACAAAAGACTGTGATCTGAGGATGTTTACTCTTCTATCCAGCCAGACGGGCAAGGCTGGGGTCAGGGAGCAGAGTGAGGCAGACATGTTCTGGAGCAAAAAAGACTCCACAGTGAGCCCATGGGGCCATAGGGAGAGACCTTTCACAACACATTCTCCTGCTTGAGGTTTGGCCCCTCACCCCTGTTCTTCCTCAGTTCTTGTCAGGAGGCCTCGCCCAAAGAGAATCTCTGCTCTCAGTCTCACACTGTGGTTTTGCCTTCCTGGCCTTCCCACATTCATGTTTTCTCAGTTGTGCCCACTTCCATCAACCTCCTGAAACCACCTTTCCAGATGCACAGCCGGCCCTGCGGTAGCAGAGGTGAGTGTTCCCTGCGGGGCATTCTCAGGGGCTGGGTTGGTTCCTGACACCTGCTGTATGTGTCTAACTCTGTCCTGGCAGAAGCAACACAAACCAAATGCCTAATCTGATCACACTTGCTCTGTTCTCTCATTTGGTCTCAGATAGCACAATATTTAATAATCTAGTTTTACCTAAAGTTATGCCTTTTTTTAGACAAGTAGGAAACTGTCTTCTTTAAAACCTAGTTATTTAACCCATCAGGATTTGCTCATAAATTTACTCACAATAATGTGCATAATACTGAACATATGCTCGAGAAACCTGAGATTGCTTGATAGCACAAAAATGGACAGGATACGTGAGAAGTGATATGCAAATGACAAATAAGCTGACAACTATGTAAAATGCAAGGAAGTGCCCCAGAAACCAAAGAAAAGCAAAATTTTGAATTGACTCTCTAAATCGGAAACAGTATGAGTCCTGAAAACCTACCTTCCGCCATTAGGCCCCACTCGGTTGATCAATTTTTCCATGGCTTCCTCTGTCTCCTTCAGTTTTTCTTGCAGTTGAACAAGCTCAAAATTCGCTGAAAAACAAGCACCAGTCTGAGAACCATCATACACAACTCACTATGCTCTTCTCTGAAACATGCTGACTGTGACACTCTGCAGCAATCCAGGCTGGCCCTGAGACTCAGAGAAGAGACGGGGAGTTTCTCCAGCTAAGCCCATCAGGAATCAAAGGGTGCTGTGGTCTGGGCACTGCTATGTAAAGGATTCGTGCTTAGTGAGTGCTGAGCAGATCACTCTCTAACACACAGAAACAAGGCAGGACCAACTACGAAAACACCTAGGAATGAACCTATCCCTAAAGTCACCCAAGAAGAATGAGGAAGATAAACACCCCCCTTTTCCCCTTTCTTTTTTTTAATTAAAATATAGTTAATATACAGTATTATATTAGCTCCAAGTATACAACATAGTTATTAAACATTAATAGACCTAACAAAGTGGTTACCGCACTAAGTTTAGTAACATTCTGTCACACAAGGTTATATTATCGACTATATTCTTTATGCCATATGTTACACCCCCATGACTTTTCCATTTTACAACAAGAATTTAGCATCTCTTCTTCACCTTCGCCTTTTTGTCCTTTCCCTAACCCCTCCTCCCAGTTTGTTCTCCCAAACTGGAAATCACCAGTTTGTTCTCCACGTCTATGAAACTGTTTCTGTTTTGTACTGTTTGTTCATTTGTTTTGTTTTTTAGATTCCACATATAAGTGAAATTGTACAGTATTTGTCTTGCTCTGCTGGACTTATTTCACTCAGCAAAATACCCTCTAGGTCCACCCATGTGGTTTCAAATGGCAAGATCTCATTTTTTCTTACGGCTGAGTAACATTCCACCGTATACATGCACCACGTCCTCTTCACCCACTCATCTGCCCATGGACACTGAGGTTGTGCCCAGACTTGGCTACTGTTATCCAAATGATGCTTGAGGGTGAAGCACCAAATCTGTGAGGCACTCTAGAAAACTAATGAAATGAGCAGTATTTCACCTGCACCTCAGGAGGAAAACACATCTGGAAGGTAAGCATTCCAATGTTATGCTCCCTCAATAGAGGAAGTCTTGACTAGGGGTGAGACCGCCTGCCCAAGGTTCTCTGTCCCAGCCACGTGGAGTGAAGTGTGTGGCCCTGCCTCCCAAAAGTATCAATAGTTTTCTCAACGAGGGTCAGTAGGGAGCACATCTATGCATTGAAACTAACTTTAAGACCCTAAAAGTAGAACAGAAGAATAATCAGTACATGAAATGAATTTTAAGGCAGAAGGAAAATAAAATGTTCATTATGCAGATAATCTAGTTTTTCCGTTTCATGCCCAGAATCGTTCTCTACCCAGATATAGTTAAAGGGTCATTGTAAATGTGGTATTTCAAAGGCTTTTGAACACTTCTGGAACAAACTCTTATTCATGCAGTTAACATTGATAAAGTATCTGGAGGATTGTGCTGCACAAACGCTTTGGTTATTTTTATTTGCTGCATGATTCAAAACTGAAGGATGAGAAGCTGATATAGCTATTGCTACATTATAGAACACATGCTCTTAGGAATTCATTTTATTTACTTCTTTCCTGTTTTAAATGAATTATGTGGCAGGATACAGAATTTGCTACTCTTTTAAAGAGTCCTTTAAAAATTATTTTACAGATACATTTACCATCACTGTTTGATACTATCTCAGTTAAGAACACAGAATCTTTCTTACAGAATTCCCTGAATAGCTGAGATTTCCAAAAAGGATGCAGAGTGTGACTGAAATGTCTATTTCCACAGAGAATCCAGAGGAAGTACAAAAAGCAGTTATGGCCAGAGGCAGATGCTTTGGTCCAGACTCACATCATTTGGCTGATGTCTGCTTTAAAAACCTCTGATGAGGCTTCGTTATCCACAAGATAAAGCCATTTGGCCTTTAAGGCCCTCAACAGTACGGCTTAACCTGTCTACTCCCCATGCCTTCCTCCTCCCAGCTGCCCTGCGTCAGGCCGTGTCTCGCTCAAGCTGTCCCATCTCCCTGACACCCAGCCAGACATGATTTCCCAAAAGGCTTTTGTCTTTCTAAGTGGTAAACTTTTCACAAGTTATTTTTCTTGACATCCATCCTCTACTATAAATTCTGAGAGGGAAGAGCTATGCCACATACATTTCGTCTCCCCAGAGAGCACAGAACATTCTAGTTGGTCAGTAAACATCTGATGATCATGTTTGAAGAGCCAGAAGTGTTACACTCTGTTCCTAGGTCTCATGACTTGATCTCTCTGCTTCTCTATGAAACAAAGATATTTGCTCCCAATATTCTGAAATCTGGCAATGAGAAGTAACCCATTCCAAATGTGAAATATTAATTTGCTAACATATAAAAAAAGTGAACTGGCGGTTTTATACTTCTTGTAACTATCTTTCCCTTAAAAGCCAACATGAGCATGGAAACTTTTGGGAACTCTGAGAGCTAAGGTAAAAATGGCATCAGATTAATTTGGCACAACTTCTGAGAAATGCTTTTAGGACGTACCCAGATCGTCCTTCTGGCTGTATCACAGTTGTTTGATGCAGTAAAACCTGTGACTATGCAGAGAGGGGCACTCACTTATTTTCCTGTAGGCATTCCCGGGCGCGGCTGTAGGGCACTTCTGGTCCTCTGTAGTGGTTTTCCCCCTGGAAAGCTGAGGATTGAAGGGGGGTACAGCACATCAACAGCAGCTCAGAACCTCAAAGTCACGGAACCCCTCATATTAAGTGAAAAAAAAAAGAAAGAAAAAGAAAAAGTTGGGAGACAAAAATTAAGCCAGAAATCCAACTGAATAGAAAGAACTCAAAACAAACAATTTTTAAAAAAGGTTTCCAAGCCAAACTTATCAAGGCACAAAGAAAAAAATGTCTCTCCAGGTCATCTGCCTTGCCCACGCTCATCTAAGACTCAGCTCAGGCTGCCTGCAGAATTTCTGGGCAAGGAGGGGCTTGCCTCTCACTCTAGTTAGGAGGGCAAAGTGAAACTCCTGCCCCCACTTCACAGTGCCTAGCTAGGCCCATGGCCTGCCAAAGTCCGCCTGGAGGTGGGACTTAATTAGCAGTCTACTTGCAAAGGACTTGAACCATGTCTCCCCAGAGCTAGGAAATATCAGGCTTAGTTTCAGGAAGTGGCACTTCCATTTAGAAGAATTACTGAAATTATGTTAGAAAAACAGCACCTCACACTCCTCGGGGAAATGAAGGACAAGTGATGCTGGTGGAGTCATCTGGCCTCCCAGTGGCTACCTGGAAATCACTAAGCCGATCCTAAAATTAAGCTCTTCTTAGAGCAGCTTTATGCCATTTAAGCTTGCAAAAATGCCCAGTGGAAAAAAAAAACTGGGGGCCTTTGAACTTTATTGCTAACTGGATTAGAAAACTAGAAGATCCAGGTTCAAGTCCTGGCTCTGCAATTTCAGTTGTGAATTCTGGGTCAAATCATTGAAGCTGAGTAAAGATTTTCTCATTGGTAAAATTGAGATAATGGCTATCCTAAGTACCTTATGAAGAGGAGGCCAGGTTTAGGGAGATGATAGATTTGTAAAGGATTATGAACTGTAAAGGGTTTTAATACTGACAACAATTTTTATTGCAATATTAGACTGTCACTGGTGTAATATGATCAAGATGATTCCACTTACCTTAAATAGAATGTACAGAATGTATAAAAAAATCCCAAAACCGTAGATTGGAATAATCTGCCCCATCAGGCCTCTTCCACTACCTCCTCCTCCTCCAGTGCCTCCACCTGATCCCCTGGCCTTTGCAAACGCCTCTGCAAGGTGAGACCGCTGGACGCGAGCCGCAGGGCTCTGGCCATCTAAGGGTGCTTGGTGATGATGCATCATGGGTGGAAATCGACCCAACTTCCCTGAGAAAATAAATTAATCGGTCTTTATTTCTCTACTATTTTAAATATGGCTATTATGAAACCACCTAACGCACTGAGGTACCAACAACAGAAGCCAACTCACATAAGTTTAAGAAAAAAGAGGAACTCGATCATAAGGACATGGAGGTATCACACAGATAGTATGATGTGCCTATCTCGAGCTGTTCACCAAACCCATTTTTTCTCTTCCTTTTGGGTCCACAGCTAGACATTTTTCAGCTTCCCATACAGTTAAATGTGGTCATGTGACTGAGTTACAGCCATAGGAATGTGAAGGACATGTGCTAGTTCAAGGTAAAACTTCCCACGTGTTAAACTCCATGTTCATTTCCCTTCTGCAAGCTGGATGTTGTACCTAAGGAGACCTTGGACATTATGTGACGATGAAAATGGCAGAGCTTCCAGCAACCTGGGCTCCTGATAACCGTGTGGCACAGAGCCTTCCACTACTGCCACCCCCAACAACTTAGAACCATCTGGATCTGCTTATGTGAGGAGAAACAAATTTCTACTGTGTCAGGGCCAGTGTACACTTTGGAGTCTGCTATAGCAGGGAGCCACCCCTCCCTAACACGGATAAGGAAATGCAGTCTGATCTCAGAAGAGAACAGAACTAGAAACTGGAAAGCCATCAGGATCCAGGACAGCCATTCTCTCATTCAATCTCATCGTTCTCGCTCCCTGTGGGGTCACGAGCCTTTTTTTTCTGTTTCTCTGTGTGTATCTTCTCCATTCTCCTTTCTCTCCGGACCATTTCTTTAGCTTCTTTGGGAACATGGAAACAGATGGTCATCCCAAAACCCCTCATTTGCATGTCCTTCAAGAAGCCAGCAGAGATTGGTCATAATTTCATATTCCTGGGGGGAGATTTTTGAATGCTCAGCTTGGGTAGGTATGAGTCCCTTCCCAACCCACTGGAGCTGAGCAGACAGGACTCGTGCACACAGACAGGGTCACAGGAGTCCATCCCTGTGAGTGGGAGCAGGGCTTACGGACAGGAGGGTGTATCAGTTTTCTTCCATTTCTTTTCCTCTGTCAGAAGCAGCCAAACATTAACACCAACTGCCAAACCCACAGAGAACCAGAGGTGAGAAAGAAAAGGAAGACACCTCTTCAAAAGGGCATGTAAACAGGCTCGTGTGGAAAAACCATAGAGAGACAAAATTATAAAGCAGAGAACACGAGACAGCAGAAAGACTTCATAAATCAAACTCTAAAAACACAAACTACAGAGTGAAAAACTGTTGAATTTGACTTCAACAAAATTGTAGGTTTCTGTTTAATAAAGAATGCCATGAGCAGAGTTAAGATTGATGACAAGGAAAAGCTTTTGCAACATCTAAAATTGACAAGTGATTACAGTATCTAGAATGGACAAGAAATTCCTACAAGTAAATATGAACATCACAGGAAACCCAATAGAAAAATGGTTAAAATATATGAGTAGGAAACTCATATCTCAAAGCTTAAGTGATTGAAAAATAGTAGAAAAATTATATAAAGGCCCTGGCCGGGTGGCTCAGTTGGTTGCAGCACTGACCCATACACCAAAAGGTTGCGGGTTTGATCCTTGGTCAGGGCACATACCTCAGCTGTGGGTTCAGTCTTGGTTAGGGCACATAGGAGAGGCAACTGATCGATGTTTCTCTCTCCCCCCCTCTCTAAAAATCAATGAATATATCTTCAGATGAGGAGTGAATTATACAAAGATATGCTCAAGCTCAAAGTAAAACCAAGGAGTAAAATATAAGTTACAGTATAAACATATTATAGTAAAACACGTATGAGACCTGCGAGAAGGGAAAAATTAGAAAGCGGGTAACAGTGAGGACTGGCACAGAGGCAGGGAGGCGAGAATCCCACGCACTGTGAGATGAGTGGAAACTGACACGGCCATTCTGCTAAGTCACCTGGCTGTACGGGCTGACATTAAATGTGTCTACGCCCTGTGACCCGATGATCCCACTCTGGGGCATAAACTGCAGAGACATTCTCAAATAAGGCTGTCTACATCCCAGTCTGAATTACAGACATTACAGGTGGTGTGGAGAATGTGTGCTGTGACAAGTCGTAGCAGAGGGCTTTAAGAAACCCTGCTTTCCATAACTGAAAGAATGAAAAAAAAAAAAAATCAATGTGGAGTAGATACAAATATGGAATTCTATGTACCTTTTAGAAATCACACTTTGGCCATACCTACAGTAACATGAGTGCATCTTAAAAAGCAGAGCATTGAGTAAAAAAAAAAAAAAGCAAACACCACAGCCATACTACATATCTTTTCAAGCAAATGTGCAGAGGTGTAAGGACATAAAACAAATACATTATTCCAGTGGGTGCACGTGAAAGGGGAAGGTAATGGGCGTGAGAATTGAAGAAAACTTAAAAAGAGAAAGAACAGAACAAGAAAGGAGACTTGCACTGATGGTGATGATAAGGTGCTATGAACTAGGGCCTATCTTCAAGTCAACTCTCTGCTCCCGAGGTCAGAAAGAAGGCTGGCGGTTAGGCAAGGAGGCAAGACAGCTAGCCACTGGACCAGCTGCCATCTGCCTTGGATCCTTCCCCAGCCAAGCCCCATTTCTCTCCCAGGACTGACTGGATGATATGAAGATTATGGGGGGAAAATGTTTCTTTTTAAAAGAAGGTCAGCAACAGAAAAGAAACACAGCTTCTGACAGTAGAAGGAAACCAGGTTACCAGTTCTTACTCTGGGTGCCAGTGACTATTATGTTGTGAAATTGTTAAGGATCTTATTATATTAACTGGTGAGCACTGACTTTAAGACTATTAATGCGCCTTCAGAGAAATGCCTAGTCAATATCCAAGCAGCTAAGTAAGCTTTCTCTTGAGAGAATTCAATATAGAGTAGCTAGTGTTCAATAAATTATATTTAATATTTGTAGTAATATATTGAACTTCATTTCACGGTACTGAGAACACTCTGAAACCTGGTGTAAAACAGAAAATTTAAAAATTAAAACCAGGTAATGGCACAAAAAGCATTATTTTGCATTTCTAAAATTAAAAATTGATGATGATGCCAAACAGCACACATGTCCCCTGAAACTCTTATAGATCTGTCAGCCAGGAAGACTTACTGGACAGCTGTTATACTTGGGGCTCTGCGCTATAGGTAAGAAAGGAGGAAGGCCATAAATGGCTAGAGTTCCCATGTGGAACAGTGCTTTTAAAAAGCAGCTTTTCTGAAACAGACAACAAAGAGGGGCAGGGTGTCATGGACTTTATTACTAGACAAACTAAATATCTATTGAAAGAATGCAAAAAACGAACAAAAAAAGAGGAGAGGAGTCAAATGGGATGAACCACGGCGGGGAACGAGACTCGGAAAAGCAGAGAAGCAAAGGCACACCAGGAGGGAAGAAGGATGTGAGCAACGAGGAAGAGATGAGAACAATGAAATAAGAACAAAGAATAAATAAGGCTAACTACCAAATTATTGGATTGGCCAAAAGGTCTATTACATTTTTTCCATAAAATAGCAGGCACATTTTTCATTTTTACCAATAACTTAATTGATGTGGACATTTTGAGTATGTTGGCTATCTCCTGCTATTGTCTTCTAATGTACAGAAGCCAGGGGGTGCTGCTAAACATCTTCCAATGCATACGACAGCCCCACAGCAGAGTTATTTGGCTAAAATGTCAATAGTACCGAGAAACTTCATAAACCACTTTTGACATGTTTGATCAGTCACAGCATCTTCTCCATACAATGCACAAATCTTTTGCATTTCAGTTGTATCTTTACCTCTCTTGAAATAACAAAGCATAATATGCCAAAAATGTTGCATATCCTCTTCCATCTTCAATATTAAAATGGCTGCAGAAAAATTCACCAATTTGGTAAGTTTTTTTTAAATGTACACTGATATGACAGCTGTCACAATACGATGTAACAAAATTGTTTCAACTGATGTTAAAGACAACTAAGCAATACTAGAGCCATTGCATGGAAAAAACAAGGGACTTTTTGGCTAACCCAACAGTTTGGCTCCACTTAGAGAAGTAACAGGTAAGGAGAGGAAAGTGGAGGTGATGTTTAAATGCTTATTTGTGGTGTGTAAATTTGATCCTGTGGGTCTAGGATCCAGGAAGTGACTTAATAAGAAATGTGTTTGAGGGGGATTAGTCTAGCAGTTGAGTTGGGTCTGGGAAACCAGTAAGAGGGCAGTAACTCAGCTCTGAGACCCAAGGGATTGAGGTGCTGGCTGTAGCTATGACGAGGAGAGGAGAGGCCCAAGGATCTCCTACCACGCACGCAGTGTTCGGCAACACGTACTACTGAACAGAGTACAGAGCCAACTGGGAAGGAGGTAAGAACACCCCAAAGTCAGGAGTTGGAGATGCTCAGAGCAGACAACAAAGAGCTTGGGAGGGCGTAAGATGATGGGAAGACTGAGCACACACGTTTCACACGTTAAAGTCCAGGGCTGGTGGCACATTCAGAAGAAATTGTTATTAGACTACAGTTGGTCTTGAGAAGAAGCTCTGAGCTACCTAAAGTTATAAAGCTAATTAAAATTAGGTAAGTGAATCATTCCCACAACAAAAAGGTTGGAGGGATATGTGCACATGCAGGTAAAAAGCAGAAGAAAACTGAGCTGGTCAAAGAGGACCAGAAACAAACCAGTATCATAAAAGAGGAGGACAGAGTTGAAAGCAACTGGGAAGTCCGGAAGAAACTGATAAAAGACTAACAGCAATCCCTGTTTCAGACACGACGCAGTCTTGAGAAAAGGGTGGCCATCACAGGAAACCCTGACTGTCTACTGGTTTAGACAGTCAGAGGAACCCATGTACCACAAAGCACCAGAGAGTCTTCAGAGTCAGAAGGAGCCTTAAAAGCTATCCAGTCTTGGGACATAAAGTAGAGCACATGGAATATAATCATTAATATTGTGGTAACTATATACGGTGCCAGGTGGGCACTGGAGTATCAGGGGGAACACTTTGTC